GTACTTTATAGAAAAGTTTTTGGTTTTCTTTAGAGTTTGTCTCCATTTTTTCGCCAAATTTTATCCAACTTTGTTCTTTTGCTTGTTTCACCATGTTTTTGACTTTCGCTCTTTGGTTTTTGTATTCTTCATATTTTGCTTCGGTCCTGTTTTGTAGGTATTTTTTCCATAGGTTTTTCTTTGCTTTTACTTCGTCTTTAATTTCTTTGTTCCACCACTCTGTTTTTTTGTCGTTTCTTGTACCCTTATGCTCCCCACATATTTCCCTTGCTGTCTCAAGTATCCTATTTTTAAATTTCTTCCTTCAGTAGTGCCAAGTAAAACTTTTCAAAAATTGGGGGGGGGGGGGGTAAACGCACGTTCTACCTTTCATGGTATTCTAATGAAAGGTCTCATCGAAATAAATTGGTTTGTACAAACTATGACTTTCTCACGCGATTCTTTTTCCAGATCAGTGAGTGACGGGGCCTGGGGGGGGGTCTCAACGAAAGGAACCGTTTTCTACCAACCACTGCTTTTCTTTCCGTCTTCTTATCAAAGTACGGGGTGGAGGGTGGAGGGGGGGGGTGGAACTAGTTTTATCCTTCATGGTACTCTAATGGAAGGTCTCAACGAAAGGACCAAGGAAGGAATTTTTTCTGTGTCTCTTTTACAAAGACATAGCAAACAAGTATAAACTGTGCACAACTCTTGTGCAGATAAAGCGCATTTTTTTAACCAAAATAGCTTTTGTTTTGATTAACACGTGCATGTCTTAAGACAAGCCTCTACTTCTGTGACCGGCTTTACGAGTGGTTTTTTCTCAAATTTTAAGGAAAAGTGATTTCGAAAAAAATAAATTGGACGTACATCAAACAAGTTCAAAAAGTAATCGTAAACGATTTACAAAAACCGCATTTCCACATTAACGGTCGTCTGAAAAAATTAGTTACTCCAGCCCAATTCGTTTTCAACCAGACTGCGCATGCACAACCTATTCTTTGATTTTTTATAAGAAGCATGTTAGCGTATAGAATTTATAAGCACAAAAATCCACTTCCATTTGAAAACGAATAATTATGGCACTTTGAAGTTTGGAAATTTTACCATTTTATTGTGAACACCCTGTATCGCTATATCCAACTTTCTCATTATCAAAGTGTTATCCTTTACTCGGCTTAACATTATTGATCAAATGTATTTCTCAACTTCAAAATCAAGGTAGCTACGATGATGTATGTGAGGCTTGCTTATAGGGAATTATTCGGAAAAAATTAATAAAATGAGAACGCTGACAATAAAATTGAATGGGTATTCATGTAGAGGTTAACAATTAACATTGAAAGTAGTAAAAATATACAGGGTAATCTATTTCAACAAAAGAAGTTATTTAGATAACCAAATATTATAATATTGAAACGAAAATCTTTAAAAACTGGGAAATTTTGTAAATTGTTACTTTTGACTCTTTTTAAAATTTTAAAAAATATATCTCGATAATCAAGACAGTTTATAATGCGCATTCTGCACATGCGCACATTAAGCTGATGTTTACAATATGTGATACGTTTGGTTCAAATTTCAAATAAATGTCTTCATAAATAAGAAAGGCATTGTTCAGCCTGCGCATGCGCACATGTGATTTTTAGTATATGCGATATGTTTGCCTTTACTATAAGTACCTATCTGTGGTTAAAATTTCAACAAAATATGTTAAGAAATAAGAAAGTTTTAATATTGCGCAGCCGGCGCATGCGCAGTTGCACACATTAATCGTCAAGGTCTGGCTTAGGTGCCAGAGCTATAAGCTACCGAATCGCAAACTGTTGGAGTGGTTAAGGCCTCGGACGGACTGATTGGAAATTCTCCAAACCTCCCTTTTGCAATAAGTAGACGTCTGCCCGTTTCCTCTTTTGTCTATGCATCCGTTTAGCATTTTTGCGATACCTAATTGAATATTAAACAAAACTGCATTTTCATATAGCGAAACAGAAGTATGTTTCTTATCTGCTCCGGCCTTTAGCTGACTTTTTACTAAGACGTGCAATGAGTTTTAAATTTAAAAGAATACTTTTTTATATTGTGCAAAGAAGGAGAAAATCTCTTGGTCCGGCCGCCCATCCATTTGTTCACGCTTTATGTGGATTTTTACTGAAGAGTCTAAAAATTAAAAAAAAACACTTTTTTAACTAGGGTCTTTCTCTTGGTCTTTTTTTTAAAGGGACAATTAATAAAAGATTATTTTAAGAAAAAATTGACAGTTAAGGTGGGTACTTTGACGCGTTATATCTCTGTGACTATTAGACGTAAAACAATGCAATTTTGGGGGTAACTATAAAAAATGCCATAATCATTCTTCATAATAATCTATATAGGAAGTTGGTACCTACTCTCGCATAACCGGAAGTGTCAGAAAACTATCACTATTTTAAAAAAGTGGTTCATGGTTGAGAACCTTTGTGTGTAAATTTGTATAAGCGTATATTATTTCCACTTTCCCATATAAGGCTAATTGTCCCTTTAAAAGAAAGACCCTGTAGTTTCTAGAGAATGAGAAAATTAATCTTTTCGCTCTTCCGTTTCTCCATCCGTTCATACCTTCACCTAACTTGTAATGAAACGCGCAATTGGTCTGAACTCTTGCAAAAATCCTTTTATTAGGAAACAATAAAGCATCTCTGTCCGTCTCTCCATCCTGAGCGAACTTTTTCATCAAAAGCGCAATTATTTAACATTTAAAAAAACCTTTTTTATCCGTTCGCTACTTCATCTGTCCCGGCTAGCTTTTTGCTAACAAAACCAGTTAATTTAAAATTTAAAAAATAATGTTATGACGTGTAATGAAAGAGACAATATTTCCACACGTCCGTTCCTCCATCTGTTCTCATATTAAGGGGACTTGCTACTCAAAAATGCAATTAAGTTAAAATTTAAAAAATATGTTTTTGTAATGTTTAAAAAAAAGAGGAAATGCCTCCATCCGTCCGTTCTTTAGTCAGTTCATTCCTTCGGCGACCTTTTTACTGAAAAGTATAATTAATTTAAACTTAAATACTTTTTAGCGCATTGTCCGTCCGTCCTTTCGCTCGATGCCTTAACTACTCGTACAGTTTTCAAGATATTTAGTTTTGAGGCAAAAGAATTTGACGATTAATTTGTGCATGCGTAGACTGGACAATGTGAAGTTACTGGAAAACCGTTTTTTAATTTTTCATAACATGAAGCCGAGTATGGGGGAAGTACCCATCTGTTCAGCTGTCTTTTTATTGAAAAGTGTAATTTAAAATTTGAACAAAAAAACTTTTATAATGTGTAGTGTAGTGAAAGAGGAAATGCCTCAATCAATCTGTTCCTCCACCAGTCCATGCATCAGGCAAACTTCACTGAAAAGTGCAATTAATATACGAGGAGTGTGTTATAAGTAAGTTGCACTATTTTTTTAATCCGTGTGGAAGGCGGGAAAAGTTTGGCAGTGAATTTGCGTCTGGGTCTAGTGGCAGCAATGTAAAATTCCTATGCGTGTGCGTCAATCCAGTCAGCTGTCAAGTTGCCGCCAGTATGCAAACTCCTCTTGCTCCCACCTCCGATTGCGAAAAATAAAAATGCGACTGAAATTACCCGCTCGTCTTTTAGTCTGTTGGAGGGGTTTTCACCGAAAAGTACAGGAAGGTTCAACTTCGTGGAGATCTTCGTAACGGTGAGACGTACCTTGTAGGTTAAATGGAAGGAAAGTTGCCTCTTTGTGTGGTTAAAAAACGCATTTGAAATTTTTGAAAAATCTTTAAAAATAACTGAAACATCACCAAAAAACTGAAAATGACAAATTTTGTTTCCATTTTCCCTAGCTTAAACGGTCAGTAGTGAACATTTCATTCCCGTTAGCACCTCCTATGGGCACTTTTTTCCTAGTATCATAATTTCCATAAGATGCTTATGATGTAGAAGCTACAGGCTACTACTTTTTTATGTCTTATGTTTACCATATTGGATTTTTACGGATTGAGCTAGAGGACAAGAAGAGTAAAACAATGACGTGTTACACTTTATATACTTTTACATAAATTTAGAAGAAAAATGTCAACAAAACATCCACGGGGAACTAGATCTTGCTGAATCACCATATCGTCTACTACGAAATTCATTTGGCTCACACGTTTTCCTTTCAAGATGGATAAATACATCCAGCCAACATGGCTATGATGGCGATGCATTCAAATGAATTTCTTTTTTATCAGAAAATAAAAAGGTAGTATGCCTGTAGCTTCTACATCTAGCGTGATATGGAAATTCTGGTATCAGATTCAGATTGTCCGACAGAAAGTGCCCATAGAAGGTGCTAACGGGAACCGTCCATTTTCGACCATTTAAGGTAGGTAAAATGAATACGAAATTTGACATTTTCAGTTTTTCGGTGATATCTCAAGTGCGTTTTTTAATCACAAGAGGTTTGCACCCCATTTAACCTACACTGTCCCTCTCACTGTTACGGAGATTCCACTGGTGAGCCACGCATTTGAACCACCCTGTACAATTATTTCAAAAATAAAAAGATATTTTTATAAAGTATGGAGCAGTGTTGGGTAGTATTTAGATAAAATGGATGGACCCACGGTCTTTCTGTCTGTATCTTGCTTGCGGAAACTAACTTTTTTATTTATTGTGCGAATTTATACTTTCATTAATTTAATGATGATTTTCAACTTAAGCTTGCCTTTTGTTTCAGATTCCAGAAGGGCAGCCTTATAAGGTAGGATTTTTCTTTTTCGGTGCATGGGTTATGGAATATTATTTTTTGTGTATTTAGCAAGGGGGGAGTGAACAGTGCAGCATATAGTGATTAAAAGGAAGAAAAGGTATTACTTTAGCTGATTTTCTCAATGTACCTAATACTGGCTGAATTGTGGTAATCTTCTCAACCCATCATCTTGCTAACGTAAGATTGGCTGCAATGATTCTTCAACTGGTCGACCAATCTGTTTACTTTATGTATTAAACTGTATGACTATGAATTCATAGCCATACCAGTTTTTTTAAGTAAACTGATTTTTCCCGTGATCAGACTATGAAGAAGTATTCCAGCCAGTTCTTTCGGTAGCAAGTTGAGTAGCTTCGAAATTACCTACACTACATTTAGTATTTCAAGAAAATCAGCTGAAAGGTTTTTAAAGGAAGGTAAGTAATTAGGTACATCACCGTTCGTGTTTGTTTGCTTAGAATCGTTTTAGTTCAAAGAAATTTCACTCTGATGAGATATTTGGTTAATAAGCGAACAGTGCGGACAATTGGTTTTAAAGAGCGTAAATGGCCTAATGGGCCTACTTACTAATTTTTTCGATTGTTCGTAGCGCCACAGATACTCGATCTTCAAGACTCGATGTCCACCTCTGGTCAACACCCCACTTCTATGATGGACTACATCCGGTTCGGCCTTGGTTCTGTTGGATACGGTTCAGGCGAGTGAGGTAAGTACGCCATCGTCTTTATTAAAAATTAACCACCTTGGAACGTCCAGAACTTTTGAATTTTCTTAACGTAGCGTATTGCTCATCGTTGTTATGCCTTTGATTTTAATTTTAATATACGGGGTGGTGACTTGACGAACGCACCATAGGAATTTCGATAGTAATTTTTTATTGGCCATTGGAAATATTATTTTAGATTATTTTAGAAATAAAATCTATGTAGGTTTTTTCTAGAGAAAAAAATTACGAATCCGTACATACTATTGTTTCCTATTTTATAAGTTTAGAAACAGTAATAATTTAAATATTAAAATCTGTCGCGTTTATAAAGTCGGTAATGCCATGGAATTAGAAATCAAACAAAAGCGCGAGCATTTGCCATTAGCTAGCTTTGTTTGATCTCAAACTGCCATGGCATCGCTGATTTTCTGAAAAGCACCAGTTTTTAGTTATCCAATTTCTTGTTTTCAAAAAATGAAAAGCTATAGTATGCATGGATTCGTAATTTTTTTCTCTACAAAAAAACCTAAATAGACTTTATCTCTAGGTCAATAATCAGAAATGAAAAAATTACTATTGAAATTCCTATGGTGCGTTGTTCAAGTCACCACCCGGTATGTAGGTGTACAGAAAACTAGCTGTAATTGATCTGTACTTTTTCACTTGCAGTTACCCCCAACTTACGATGCCTGTTTGCCAGTAATCTGCGAACGTGAACGAGTACCGGTAGCAACGTGTCGTCTTTCCCTTGGTCGTGATCCTTCCTAGGCGAGACTGAATGAATAAAGCTCAAGGGTACGTACATTGAGTTATTTACTTTTTAAACTAATTCGTACCCAACTATGGAAGCCTCTCGGTGATTTACAATTTTTTTTTCAGTAATTGGTAATGGAGGTATCGCGTACGTAGACGTTATCAACTCCTTTTGCCATCAGTTTGGGAACTTCGACTGCGATTCATCTTTGGTGTTCCTTCCAGGCGAGACCGAATTAATAAGGCCAACGGGTAAATTTTCACTTTAATTAGAAATGATTTTAATAATTTCAAATCTCCTAAAAGGATGTGGGATTGTGGGAATGTCAGTTATTCGGTAGATTTACAAATTCCCGCGGTTTTGGTCCTTATTTTCCCTAGCGCCATATACTAAATTAAGTCCTCTCAAAAGGTGTGCTGAAACTAACCATACAGTGTTATTCAGCTTTTCCCAGTCCAGGGTTTTATTTACTAATCCTATTCTTCCTTGTTTTCTGCATCGCCCACCTCAACATTCTCGTTTTCTCCATACATTATAGCAAATTTTTAACGTAAATCCTTTGTTCTAGATTCCAGAAGGGCGGCCTTATAAAGGTAGGATCTTTCTTTTTCTATGCATGATCTATTGCTTTTTATTTTTTTGTGTACATAGCAGTGGGGGAAAAGTGAACAGTGCGTATAGTGATTGAACGGACTATTTGTAGCTGACCTTCGTATTGTAGTACTAAGTGAGTTGTGACCACCAACTTACTCATGTACGATTGATTGCAACGATTCCTCAAATGGTCTCTCTTGAGGCGTCGGTCATTTTACTTCATAATGATCTGTATGACTATGAATTCATAGCCACACCGATTTTGCGAAATAAATCGACTGTCGTTGCAAGTGAACTATGAAGAAGAATTGCAACCAAATTTTTCATGACCAAGTTTTGGTTATACTTCACTTATTATTACACGAAGATAGGCTTTTCGGTTTTTAAAGAAAAATGAGTGATTAATTCTCTTTATAATTAGTATTAAGGAACACAATTTTAGTTCTCGGTCTCTTACAATTGATTTCTGAATCTACTTACACACAATGGAAGAAATAGGAATGATATGGAATTCTATTCTGACGTTAACTGACCCATACTGATTCTGAACGTTTTTATACTTATTCATATTTAGACATACGTCCCGTTTTTTTACCGCGGCGCGTCGGGAAGTGCGCGATAGTGATCTAGTGGTGGTGTAGTGACGAAAATCTGGAATGCTGTCTTATGGTACCGGATAAGATATGGCATTCCTCTAAATCGTCCACTTAAGTATAGCTTATTTAAAACTTGTACCGATGAAAATTAAGGGAGCACAACCCATGGCAGAGGCAGAAATGTCTAATTCGCCTATAAAATCATTTTGCTCCATACTATTAATGTAGTTTAGCCCCGAATTCGTGGTTACACCTATTTTGTATGAAGTAAAGACTTTTGCGGTGGGTGGAACTGTGATGCCTTCTGTTAAGGGTTTTTTATTCCGTCATTTATCAGTCTATTTTTATACGGCCTATGACTTAAAGGAGTGTTGTAAACTTCCGGAACCATCAAACGGTAAGTGAGTCTTCGGGGGTTCAGTGGGACCACTTGAGTCACCTGCGGATGGCCAACGCCCCACCCTCACTTTTTAATGTAATTCATTCTGCTGTTCCGTATTATATACGCATTTGAGATGTAGCATAGTTTCTGTTCTTTACACTAAGGATGTAGGTACCGTTTGCTTGTATAGCGTGCCAGTTTTCGTTATTTCATATTTTCCTTTAGTACCTACTGTTTTATTCAAATTATTTATTTTGCCTCCATCGCGGTAGTGAAGTAATTTATGATTCAGTTATTAACAATTTAATTTGAATTGTTTGTATACAATTATTTGCATTTATGTTAATTTCATAACACATTTCAATATTTGTTCAGTTAGGGTAATTCCTGCCCATCTCTTACGATCCTAATCCTTCCATCTTGGATTTTTTAGCCTTGCTTATGGTGATAAACCGAAGGGCACCATACGCACCATACTCTAACCTTAGGCTTTTACTCACCTGTCCCTCCTAGTACTTGACCTATCCCGAAAGTGGACTGCTTCACCAAGACAAGCAGGGGTGGTGGTGGGTCACTTCCTTCCTTCCTTCCTTCCTTCCCGGAAGCGAGTCAGTTTGAAAAAAAATTGACACGTCGCATCGCCGTTGGGATATTTTTACCAGTGTTACCCACACAAACTTATTAGTGCTCCTGTGATCGCCCAGGCCTGATCCAAACAAACGAGGTGCGTATCAAAACTGATTATGATTACCTCTAAATCATGACCCTTTTGATACAGAAACGACGACTTTGTCACCATCTGATGATGCAGTGTAGAAGACTGCAAAATCTTCGTGTATGTTCACGTGGTAACTGCCAAGTAGCTTACAGGCCGATTCCCAGTACGTAATCTACTACTAACTTATGATAATCAAGAAAATTTTCAGAGGAGAAGATTGAACAAGTGAAAGCTTTAACCCGATCCAACGGCTAATGGTTTGCCTAAGAGGAATCCGCCTTCAACTCCACATCGTGAGGGAAGGTTTGTTACAGTGAACTTTTAAATCTCACAACCGATAGAGATGAAAATGTTTCAGATTATCTATTCTTTCGTGACGCCATTGAGGGTTGCAAAGGGTGCCAACGCTGTCACATCTTAAAGGTGGGGGAGGTGGCGCTCCTGATCTATTAGTGAAGACCACACAAATGAAGGTAAAAGTTAACGTATTTTTCGAGAATTTTAAGAGACGATTAAACATGTAAATTAAAAATCACTTTAGGCTGCATGAGTGTTAATTTTTTAGTAATTAAATTAAGATGTTATAAATTACACACATCCAAATTGCCAGTTAATTCTCGCTCATTATTCATACAAGTACAAAATTGCCAGTAACAAAATATACTGTAAACCTGATTGACTTGGTCTTATCATGATTGAATGAATACGCATCGGTAATGAAAAACAGGATTTTAAAGTTTGCGGTTGTGTCTAACTGGTTATACCAATTAATCTTTAACGCCCTAATAATTTGGATGTCAAATTGAATTAATTGGTGTCCGAAGAGCATGCTCTCGCTTTTGCTCTATTTTCCTGCGGTATTTAATAATTTAACAAAAGTTACTTGCATAGTTTCATAAGAGTGGTCCCTAGTAAGATCCTTGAGGTATGTCACGTATATAGTTAAGACATTGTTAGTACCGTAAAATGAGTTGAGACATTTACCCCTTGAAACTGTAGGGATGCATTCAATTCGTCGTCGACAGTTATAAGTAACGGTAAAATGAACCAAATTGCGATTATCTTTTTCATTTCTCAAGTCAATAAGGTAATAAAGTTCTCGTGTAAAGACGTCTCCCCATATAATATTTAAATTTTTAGAATTGTACTCCAACTTTACGTGTATAATCAGTGTTCCAAAATTAGAAATTATTTGTACTTTAACGTTGTACTTATGTGGTATTTTTTGCTCTTATAACTTCAAAGTTTGAAGTCATTCAAATTTTTAGACTTTGGCTTCAACTACGCCTATGCTAGATGCGTTAAAATATCATTTTGTCGTATTTTTGCCGTAAGGCGAAATTTGAGCCTTTATGTTATTCTACTTCTTAGAATGAGAGCCAAATTTCACACATATAAATACTTGCTGCTCTTTTTTGTGATATTTTTTACTGTATGAGACCAAATTTGTGGTCTTATAATTTTTGAGTGATTACACTTTTTCTATGCACATCTACTTCCATTAGCATATTTTGGAAATTGTGTGCTTTTGGTTGCCTATGGTGGTTTATGGTTTATTTAATTTTTTTGGTATCAAATTCCATCTTCCAATTCTATATAAAGTATTTATTGATTCCTGAACATTTATGTACAGAAGGAGCCTTTTCAAATATTCTTTGTCGAATCTTCTGATGAACTCTGGACGTTCTTGGGAGCATTGTCAGATGCTTTTCAGAAGCTCTTCGGAAATTTCAGATATTCCCAAACGATTCTTCATTTATCAAGTAACTGGCGATCAAAAATGGATTGACATCGAGTCACCTTTGGAAGTTCTTAATATTATTTTCCATTTCCAAAGGTGTCTCTACAGCAACTCTTTTTTAATCACATAGTATTCTCAGAGACTCAAAGTTCTTTAAAAATTTTTTAAAGACTATTAGTGGATATCCACATTTAGGTATTGCCACTCCATTAATATGAAAACATCATCTACAACTTAAGAGTCTTCTTTACCTAAGCGCAACTTTTTTACATTATAGTGTATAGATGATTATAGCTGCAAGAGATAAGATGATATTCTTGCTTTGTCAACTCCTGTCTTGGTCCTTAGTTAATTCCCACCGACACTGTGCAGCGGCGCCACTTGTTACACTCAAATTGTTGATTTATCGCCCGCCAAGATACAGACTTTATTTACAAAAATTATGATTTCATTTTTTGGGCGTCATGTTTAGAAGTAAATTATCTAAAAAACTGTCGGTTTACTTTTTCCATAAATCGTCTTGATCGAGAGTAAAAAAATAAAACAGATTAGTGCAATAATCGATGCGATACATCTAATCTTTAAACAATCGGTATTAAGTTGCTATAAACTTAAAAAAAAAATAGTCCGAACATTTTGTAGATAAAGGTCTAAATTTATAAAATAGTTCTTAAAAAAAATTGTTTTTGGAAAAACAAATAGAGTTTTTATGGCGAGCGCTCTTATGGAAATTTGCATTGGATGCAGTGGGTACAGAAGACTCTTAATGCGTTAATGCTGAGAAAAATTTGTATTTTTAATTTAATTCAACCAACTTTACTTTGGTAAATACTACATACAAATTTGAATTTAGCGCCTGTTTCTACACCTGCAAGCAATGCTAATAGTTTACTTAATTTCAAATGTTTTTGGATCTGACATTCTTAGAAAATTTTTATCGACCATTGGCGGGAATCCATTTTGATTGATTATATTTAGAGTTTGAAGTTATTCAGAGTCTTAAAAAATCTTTTATTGCCAATTGTCTAAAGAATTTTGCAAACATCGGTTGGTTATTCTTCAAGAAACCAACCAAATGGTTTCCGGAGGTTTTTCAGAGGCAATAATATTCTTTAAAGATAGAAATTTAGAGTTTTTTCAAAACCTATTTAGAAATTCTTTGCGAATTGTTACAGACCTTGCTATCTTTCAGGGAATCTGCGAATTTGGCAGAACTTCTGCAAAAATATACTTCATGGATTTTTGATTGATTCATGATAGATTATTCAAATAATCTTCAAAGATTGTTTAGCCTTTTCCGGACAGCGGACATTGTTCGGAGTAAGTAAACAAAATTTATATTTGTGAATGTTATGAGGTCACAGAAAATTATAATATTAAGATTTGGTTATATGTTTATTCTGCCCAAGAACCTTATTGGTGCTGACTACTGAGCAAGGTTTAATACTTTAGGGTATTGAAAGAATCCTTCTTCGTTTTTTCTAGTCTTTAATAACGTTTCAACCTTTGGTTTAAAAGTTTTCAAGAACTCCCAAGTGTCTTCAAGATCCTTCTAGATTACTTTTTTATTAGATTATTTTTTTAAGGGTAGTTAAATCCTTAAGAGCTTTTGGGAACCTTTAAGAGTATTGGATATCGAAATATCGTTCCTTTTAACACCCTTTAAAGCTCTTTAAAAGTTTGAAATAGACTTAAGAGCTTTCAACAGTGTCTCTGAGTGTTCAAAAACCCATAAGTGTATAAAAAATCTGTTGAAGGCTTTTAAAGTCATTAAATAGGTACCTCTAAAAGTCTTATAAAATCTTTAGCCTTTATAAACTTTTAAAAGTCTGAAATAGTCTCCACGAGCCTTCAAATGCTTTAAAAAACGGATCTTCTGGAGGCCCTAAGAACCATTAGTTGGAATGTAGAGTGTTTTAGTTCTTAAATAATAAATACATGCTGTGTTCTTCAGTATACGATTTTACTTGTCTTTTCTAAATGGTTTTTCAATCAAAGTTTGATTTTCCCTTAACAATCTATTTTAGGTGGTACATGAACTTCTTACTCGTCGATTTCCATTTCATTCACAAAATAATAATTATCGGTATTTTAGAAATCGAGTACTCGCGGTTTTCAATACACAATTCACACACAATTAGATTAAACAAAACTATTGTTGCATTAATAAATACCCTAATACAAGTTGATTTAAAACAAAAATGTCGAATGTATTAGATTTTCATGTGGCAGTTAATAAATACTTTTTTGAGTAAGCTGATAGTAAAAATGGAAAGTGATATTTAATAACCTCTCGGGTATAAAAAATGCTGTTATTCGCATTCGGTGCGTGTGGAGGTCGCGGTCCGCGGCAAAAAAAATTCAAAACAAACAGAGAATGAGTCAATCGGGGGCGAAAAAGTGCACAGGCGCACTACTTTTTACTACTTTACACACATTCCTCTACAAGGCAACTCCATTTTACTCAAGGCTACCTCGAAGAGATTGTGATACATCAAGCAGCTGATCAAGGTGGGGCGACCCATTCAACAGTAATCTCCTTCTATATGACGCACACTGATTACAATATTGGCGATTCCTTCAAGCTAAAGGAGAACGGGGGCTTCCCCGCGTGGCTTCGGGCGCCGTGCTGGGTGGTCCTCGGTGTGGCCGCCGTCGTGTGTGGCACGGGGCCCCGATCCCCTCCGTCGCGACCAATGAATATACTCCTACCCCAAGATACTGTTTATCACCGGCTCCGTCTTGCAGCTTGCGTTTACCATGTGCTTCTTGCCACTAACCGATTTTAATCCCTAAACTTAGAAATTAATGCATGGCCACCGTATACCTAGTTATACAATTGGCCCTTTATGAATACATACTTAAAACACGTCGTGTAAGTAAGCCAACCGTGCAGTCTAAAGAAGGACAAATTATTTATTTTAGTGTTCCTAAATCATGATTGGTGTCGTAATGCGTTACCACACGAGATTTAGCCATTTGGTAAGTCAGTTAAGACGAATAATCTTGATTAAGTAATGTGCCCACAATTACAGACATTGTACCTCCATCGATGCAAGCAAAGCGTTTGGTTTTCTATTTTCTTGCAACTTTTCCTCATTTCGAGTTAGAATTGACCTAAAATTATTGTACATTTTTCTTTCATATGGCTATTTTGACCACTAAATATAAATATGGAAATAGAGAAAGACATTTTTAACCTTCGTCTTTTTGAATTTGAAGTAAATATTATTTTTTTTAGCTTTGGAAACAGAAAATAGTCACAAGGGGGTGATATCGGTACTGTAAGTTGGATGTTCTAATAGGTACCTTAAAACCGCATTCGTTGAATTTTTTTTATAAATGTGTGCTTTATGCACTCTACAGTGGTGTAAAAGCAGAGTTTTCTGAGCATCATAATTGTTTCTGTCCAAAATTTTACACAAACTTGACGTGGGAAAATTGTCGCGATAGCATATTACTTTCATAGCTAGATCATCATCATTTTTAGTTTTCTGCTAATGCAGATCCCTGATGGCTCTTCTCCACGACTCTCAATCCTCTGATCTTCTGTTTACTCCTTCATATCCTCCTTCTCCCTTCTCCCTTCTTCAAGTCATTATTAAGTAATTTCCTTCCCCTTAATTTCTCCCTCATTACTTCCTTGAACAAACAGTTCTTTCTTAGTACATGTCGAATCTAGTTCATTTTCCTTCGCTTTATGATCTTTAATGTCCACGTTTCACTACCGTACGTTAGAACACTCCTAGGTAACTGAGTTTCCATCTTACTGCATACAATCCTCCTCTGACTATAAAATGCTTGTTTTGCCGTTGCTATCCTGGTCTTAATTTATCTTTCGCTTTTCCAACCTTGTGTTATCTCCTTACCTAAATACTATTTTTTCAGTTACTCTATCCTCACCAGCTACCGTTACTATTCCTCCTGCACACCCACTGTCATAACTCTTGTTTTGTTCTTATTAAATCTTAGACCATATTCTGTTTTCATTTAATCTATCTTTTGTAACAATAATATCTCAAGTTCTTTTCACCTTTTTCCCTTTTCCTTTTGAATACTTCTAATAGTTTCTCCCAGTTTAGCCAATCGATCATTTAAAAAACAACCCTTATGTAGCTTATATCTTTCTAATCACTTTTTCAAAACAATGGCAAAATCCTTAAAATCATACCATGAATTTTTTTAGACAGCTTTTCTAACGAATTAAATATACCAGGAAACATTGCGTGGTAGAAGAGACCAAAGCAAGCGTTTCTTACGAAATAAACAAAAGGTCCAACCTGGATCGCGCAGGTAGCAAGTTTTTTCCCCATAAACCATAAGATCAAAAAATATAACTAGTGGATTTACATAGGTTCTTGACTATAACTTTTCTAATTTTTTAAAAAACAACCTCCAAAATTCTTACCTCAAGATGATGCACTACTAAACGAAGATGCAAACAAATTCTGGTATATCGACGAATTTGATGTCTTGGGTTCGTTGAAAATTAATTTTTGAAAATTTGAAAAAAATTACGTTTTCAACGAAATTTGGTATCTTTGGAAAGAATACTAAATTTCCTCGAGAGCGAAACGTATTTCGCCCTTCCGTTTAGAGGTAGGCCATTTTGAGTGAAGAATTCAGCAAACATTTTTGAAAAAATCAGAAAGGAATATGTTGGGGCCTCAGAAAAACAATGTAACATGTTTGAATCAAACACACGCGGTTTTAAAATGTGCATGAAAATGATGAAATGTACTCTCTCGGCATCAAGATAATGCGCTTGAAAGCTTTTACAACTCCAACTTCATGAGTAAAGAATAATTTTGGGTAAATTTTCCCTAAAACTTTGGACCTAGACCATAGGGAAGAATTATATTTAATTGGTACACATCTAAGAGGCATAGGGAATAATCTAGCGAAAGTCCGAACTGATACATGACCTAGGGAATGAAATGTTTTTCTATTATACATTAGGTTACATGATTACTAATTAGGAGAAAAAGTAAAGTGTAATTTAAAATGCCATAAAGCATTGGATTGTAGAAATAAATAAGTGAAATAAAAATATACCCTGTGTCCAAGATACGGATCTCTATCATGGGGTTGCCCGAAACCATAAAAGATACGACGATGGTCAAATTACGAAAAATTTGCGCAATTAAACAGTTATTATCGGATTTTCAAGAAAACCAGAAAATTCTGATTATCTACTTGCGAAGATATGCCAGAAAAATTGAAATTTGCCGAATTCGTCTTTATTTTTTTCTTATATTATTTGAGCAGATACAACACAATAGAAAACACCCTCTCATTGCCACTCTTTGTGTTCTACAAGACACCATTGAGAGATTTTCAATAAAACGATTTGTATCGGAGAAATTATCAACTTTATTTTTTATACGGCCCGTAAAGATTAGGACAGAGAAAGTGTTTTTTTTATTTTCTTGTATCCGGTCAAATACCATCAGAAAAAATACAGGGTGGCCATTTGAAAACGAAACAGAGCCTATTTTGGGGACCTCAAAACATTTACGAAAAAATCCTCGGAGCCGTTAATTTTTGATCCAAGGGGGAACTTTTTTTTTGATAGTTTCGCCCCCCTGGGGTAAAGCCATAGCGGGGGTGACAAGTGCCCCCAAAATTTTAAATCGAATGGGGGGTCGAGTTATACCTTATTTTGAAGGTATTTTTATGTAGATTATAACTCTTAGATTTAAATCAGTTTTATTTTAAGTGCTTAAAGCTAAAATCAATCAAGTAATTTTGTTGGAAATGTTGGCCTTCGACTTCCATACAATAATACAGGTTTTGTTCAAACCTTTCCCGTACATTTTGCAAAACTTCTAGGGTGATTTGACGACATTCATCAATTATTCTTTATCGCAAGTTCTCTAGCGACGTTGGCTGACTAGCATAAATTTTAGTTTTTAAATGTCCCCATAAAAAAAATCTAACAGACTTAAGTCCGGGGAACGAGGAGGCCATTCAATAGCTCCTCTTCTTCCAATCCATTGTCCTGGAAACGTTTGGTCCAAATATTGACGAACCCTTGCAGCATAGTGGGGTGGCGCACCATCTTGTTGAAATACTATACGATTTTCCAAGTACTCGTTGTTATTTTCTAGTATCTCCACTAATGCTGGATGAATCGTTTTTCTAATAGCTTCAAGTACATCTCTCCTGTTAGATTGCCAGGTAAAAAGAAGGGGCCTACGATATGGTTACCAAAAATGCCAGCCCAAACATTCAATTTTTCGGGACGTTGTGTATGCACCTCACGAAATATTCTGGGATTTGAATCAGCCCAATAGCGACAGGTGTGTATTTGTCACTACTATTATTTGACAACAACAATTGACAAGCACTATTAAACTTCAAAATGTTGCTATAGTAACGCTCTCAACAATAACCAAGATTTCCGTTGCAGAATTGGCATAGCCACCTACAGGTATTAAAAAGAAAAAAAACAACAACAAAAAGTACGGTTCAGAATGTAGGAGAACAACATTTTTTGTATTTACTGTTGTATTAATTTTTGTTATTTAACTAATTCATTTACAAGCATTTTTTTCATAAGAAAATGTTGACACGTTTTTAACTTTTATTAGCCCCTGTATCGGGCTAGGCAAATTAGTAGCGATTATAACTTAAGGGTTATAATCCACATAAAAATACCTTCAAAATAAGGTATCACTCGACCCCCCATTCGATTTAAAATTTTGGGAGCACTTGTCACCCCCGCTAGGGCTTTGCCCTTAGGGGGGCGAAACTAGCAAAAAAATGGTTCCCCCTTGAATCAAAAATTGACGGGTCCGAGGATTTTTTCGTAAATGTTTTGAGGTTCCCAAAATAGGCTCTGTTTCGTTTTCAAATGGCCACCCTGTATAAAAGAAATCAGTAAATTTCGGGTTTTTTTGGCATATCTTCGGAATGATAATTTTCTGATTTTCTTTACAGCATGATCATTGATAAATTACTCTTTAATTGCTTTGCCCTAATTTTCAGACGATATTCACTAGTTGGTGTGTAGGTCTCGTATAAAGCTCGGAATGATGCATTTTAATAAGTCGTGGGGCGACTTTAATGACATTTTGACAGTAGCTTTCTCTCAATCAAGAATTCGCATGAGCAAAACCAACTTTTCTAGCCAACTAGAAAATTTTCTGATGTTTTAACAATTAATCGATCTGCATAAAATCAATTGTAGCTACCCACATGTTAAAACTCGAATTACACATGTGTCTGTGAGAATTCAACCAAGTGATTACTTTCCGTATAGGTGATGATAACAAGGGAAGTCTTCTACCCACGGGATTTTGAGCATTCTCATAAGCTGCTTCTCCCAAGGGTGTATAACGGAGATGGCTACGTTCCAAAGTCATTCAAATGCTTAAGTATTTAATTAATATGAACTTTAGAAAAATGTAAAAATTGGGAATTAGTACGCTGAAAAGTTTCAAAAAATCTCAGGATTTTTGGTGAGATTATGAAAACGATATCTCGAGCAATAAAAATTTTCAGAACACCAACGTGTACCTAAATTCGCCCCTCATTTCAATTTACCTTTCAAAAAAATACCATGGTTTTGCTTTTATTATACATTCGCATTAAACTGTATGGAATAAGGTTGGTTGTAGAAATATAATAGAAGAGAACTCTCAATTTACTAGGTATCCAAGGGTTTCCCGAGAACAAGTATAATAAATTAAAAAATTTGTCACCTATTAATTTAAGACGAATTTTCCCTGATGCACATCTTTTGCATATGTTGCAAGAATTTTTGATAAACAATTTCTGATGAAATTTGAATTTTCATTTTCATTTAAATTGAAAGATAGTTTTGGGGATTTTGAATGAAAACGCCATAACAAATCGCACTTCCGGGGAGTGAAGTTTATGTTTTGAAGGTCTAATTTGTGCCTACAAGAATTTTTGAGAAAACTTTTTAAATGAAAAATCGAATTTTCAGTTATTTTGTAATAAAAAAATAAACGCCAAAACGCATGGAATGTTGGTGAAACTCAAAAAGCTGGTGCTTGAGAAGTTTGTGTTTTTAATTCAATGCTAAAGCAAAACCTACAGAAATAGGTATGTGTTTTGAATGAAGAACCGAGTGAAGAACTCATTTGCATGTTTTATTAATAATTTCTTTAAATAATTAATCAATTGTTTAAACAATCACGAACCTAACTTACGCACAAATTAGTCCTTAATTTATTAACTGCCAGTTATAAGTACCTTAAGAAAGCATTAAATTTGTTCTTATTCGTAATAGCAGGCACAAAAATGAAATTTGTATCTCCGATTCGATGCCGCATTTTGTTAAAAAGTTGGTGCCACAAAATACGATATTGGTTTGTTTTGTGCCGCGCTTCGAATATTTGATCTTCTAATGGCTATTTTTCAAAACTTCTTTTACTGACTCGTTGTGGACACGTATTTTTACGATTCTGAAGCATAAAATAATAATATATTTTTTTGAGACCTTCCTATTGTCTTTCAACCCGAAATATGCTGTTTTTAGACAATTTCACGATTTTTACCAGAAACCGAATGGCGGAGTTAGCACTGCGTCATACTGAATTTGGTGTTGGTTCGACTAAAATTTAAAAAAAAATTTTTAATAAAAAGTTAGGCCAATGTCCATCTGAATCTAAATGTCGTTTCTGCAGAAAATCATCAAAAATAAATTTTGCACATTCTTGTGAAGTTCTCTAAAACTGCACTGCGTGACTTTTATACATCAGATGAAAAACTATACATTTTACTAACCCCCATGACTTGTCAAAATTGCAAGTTTCAGCATAAAAGGCTGTCGACTATTATTAATGCACCGTCCACGTAACGTCGATTTAAATAATTGCAATCATCACTTAATGAAGTCATCTTGCATTTACTATGCAGTAGTAGGTACCGGTCGGTCTCGGTCAATGGTAAATTTAATTAAATTCCATGCTAAGCAGTAAAACTATCAGAATTACAAATAACTGTTCCTTGAATAAAGAAATAACCCTCTATAGGGGTGCAATAGATTGTTTTCCGTTTTCCCTGCTAGTTCCAATATTTATTCATTATTAGCCGCATAATGAACGTCTCAACCCGTTGTTTAAAAAAACGAAATCGTAAACGTCTTCATTATGCAAAGGCGTGTTATTGTATTTTCAGTCATAATTTTTCGAAGAAGATAATTCAATCCCTCCTCTCTTGAATGTAGGTAGGCTTAATTGTATAGAATCACGTTTAAAATTCAAATTACACTACGAGTTGCGGTACCATCACAAAAAAGTTAAGTAAATAAGCTTATACAATTTGCGATCTGTTATAAGAATGGTCATTTTTTTTGTAACCGCAAATATTTATTCTTCATTTGGAAGTGTAAAATAAAGTAATTACCTACATTTGAGATGAAATTAAACAATTAATCGGTTGCAATAATTGGGTAGGTTTTCGCGCACTTCTTTCAGATTTAATAGCAACGAGAAAGGTAGATTTTCTTTAGATTATCTCTATATAGAGACCATAATTCAGAGGTAAAAGTAGAACAGATCGTAGACCACACAGATCGCCCGTCATTAGCTTCAGAATTCAAAGTTAATCTTCAATTATATGGCAGATGTAGTTTTTTCTTATGCGAAATATTAATTAATGACACCAGTTTTAGATCTTAATTATTTGTTCCTTTAGGCGAAATTTGATTAACTGATTTGACTAAGCCCTTATGTTTTAATAATGTAGTCAATCACCGCAAAAGCCGAGGGCGTAATGATACCGGTGGCAAGCGTCAAAAACTATAAATTAATGGGAACCACGAAAATTCACCAAAAATTATCTGTAGGTCTGAGAATATAAAAAAAGTCATTTATTTTCTGTCACATTCACAATATAAACTTTTATCTAAAATCCAATCACACTATAACAATTTGTACATTAATTTTACATAAGAATAGACAACTAGATAAAGACATTAGCTTTTTGTACTCACAAAATAAAGATTCTGTCTACGATTTCTGCAATCTGGATCTATTAAAAACAAAAAACAGGAATTCAACAACCACCTTAAAGGAGATTAAAGCATTTCAATAACTTAAAGCAACATACAGCCCAAAGCGCCTCTTTGGCTAAAAATCCTGTAGTTATCATTGACACAACTTAATCTGTATGACTATAAAGAGTGACTTACAGCTAAGCAAATATAATACACACTGTACAAAGAAATTTACAACTTCAGTTTACTATGGTAATGTATCAGATCTTAGGAACTATCAGTAACGTCTGGTTCTAATAATTCAACAACTTTGGTCTGGCTACTAAATTTTAAAGGTTCAGATCAAATTACAAAATACTGACGTGTGCAACGAGGTAGATAGTGGTTGGTGGAGGAACACGCGACTTTTGATCACGTCACCGCAAATGTTAGTGTATTGAGTACCAGAATTAAGAACAAACTGGTTCGTATAACACCACAAACACCCACGGAAGTACGCGTATCCCTTATAATGTTATTCGTTTCTATGTCGCCCACAGGTTCTGGCGTCACTTGGTTAATGTTCTTGTGGAAGCACAGCCTGGCCATGTTGTTTTGTATCTGCGGACAGTCGTACTCCTCGTGGCCGTCGCATTTGCACGATTCCAATTTGGAGGCCTTTTCCTGCCGTCGAAGGATCGAAATTGAATTTAGACATCTATGGGTGCACTTTTTCCCGTGAAACATCGATCTGCAGTATCGATTGTAATAATCCAAGGCCGTTGAGCACAACGCGTCCGCGGAACAAATCCATTGGGCTACCCGGCACGAAACTACCGACTCATTTCTTGTCGCCTTTAACACCTGTGGTCTGCAAACCTCCACCCTCCGCTTGGCATCTTCGCAGAAATCATCGCTGCATTCGCACTGCAACAAATTTTACTCGTCAACAACATGCAACAAACTCAAGTCGTGACTTTATGGGCAAAAGTAATTGCGTGGTAGTTTGTTTATGACCCATAATAATTGATATTTTAACTTGCCGCATGTAGCACAAAACCGTATTTGCTTATGTAAATATAATCAAACAGTAGCGTTAATTTGCATTTAAAATTACTTATTACGCCGCTGAAGCATGCGGTCAAGACTTTCATTTATAAGATGTATTGCCTAATTAGCGGTCCAACTTGCATACCTTCATTAGATCGCGTCCCTCTTCGGTCGATGTCAGAGCTATAAGGGCGTGCTGGCAATTCTCGGGGCAGGATGGCGATTCCGGTCCTTGCAGTACCGCGGAACAGCCGACCATGTAATTTTGAAGGGCCTTTCCACATCCGACGCGGTATGCACATTTAAGGCGAGCTTCTTCGCATGATATAGGAGCACGATATTCCGCTGCAACACCCACTATCGCCGTCACCGACATCATGACCCACCACATACCTTAAATAAATTAAAAAAACGTCAAAAAATGTGAAATTAAACCGTATCGTGAGTTAATGATACGGTCAAATTCTAAAAATTGTGGGTTGTTTCTGAAGTAATAAATTATTAAGGAAAAAGTTCCTCAAATCCATGTGACACTGGGGAGATTTTTTTGAATCCCTTTTATAACGTAACGTAGAATCGTTTCCGTAGTACATAAGAATGCAAGGGTTGCAGCTGCCTTTAAATTTATTCTTGCCAATAATGCAACTCGATTTTGTAAATTTAGAGCAAAGTAACAGTGATAATCGCACTTTAGCGACAAAATTATAGCTGTAAGTGCGCTATAGTATGTTGCCAACCTCATTGAACATCATTAGTTTTAAATTCAATTTCATATACCAATTACTTCCAGTTGTAATTTAATGAGGTGCAATGAGGTCGCCAAACGTCATATAAATGCCAAATTTTTTGCTCTTATAAATAATTAGGCATTCAATTATTTGAAATTTAGAAGCTAGGCCAAGGGCTTAGAAGTTCTATATTCAAATACGACTTTGGTCACCTCTGTAGTATATTTTTAGTGCATTTTTTAAGAATTAAAAAAAATGTGATATTGGTTTTGGCCGTCCGTCTGGACCCACCTCTGCGGTTTTGAACTCCTGTTAGGAGAATTGTCCTAGAGGTCCTGGAATTTTTTGCAATAAGTAGCCTATACTTTGAAGATGTGCCAAACGGCCCTCAGATTTTTTCTCAGTTTTTTGTTGATAAAACCTGGCACAATTTTTGTAGGTTGCCCACAGAAAAATAAGGTCTTTCGAATAACGTAATAAAAATTTTAGGTTTCTATTTGAAAAAAAATCTTAAGAAAAATGTTCGCTCTAATTTTTTTTCCCCGTGCGTTCTGTCTTTCACAAAATTAATGATCGCCGAATAGAGAAATCATGCAGCATGCACAAGCAACATTTGAATATATTGTGCAACTTGGAAGTACACGAACCTAAAAGGAGCTCCTCCTTGAAGATACCGACGGAGCCCGATGTGATAGGCATGCTGCCTGCTGGTTGCTTATACGGCAAGGTTTACTTGTTAGGCGATCGTTACTTTTGTCAATGACACACGTTACATACAGACGGATATACAAAAGTTTCTTTAAAACGTGGACATTTGTTGAGATTTTAACATATCCAAAACTCTTACCTCAAACTAGGAATTAGGAAGCTAAAAATTGTATTGATTCTTGAGAGTTTTGTAACTACCAAATTTTGCGACTCTTGGCTTAAAGAGCCATTCTCGTTATTCTTTTGTTTCTTAAATCCAAGAGTCGCAAAATGTGGTAGTTCAAAACTCTCAAGAATCAATACAATTTTTAGCTTCCTAATTCCTAGTGTGAGGTAGGAGTTTTGGATATGTTAAAATCTCAACAAATGCCCACGTGTTAAAGCAACTTTTGTAAATTTTCCTAGATGCTACAGCACGGGGTCTCCACATTGAAGACCTATTTTTCTGAGCATTTACCTATTTGTTACATTTCTTAAAAAAACACGAGTAAGAAAGGACAGAAAGTCAGAAACGTATGATTATTTTGCTTCCGAGCATTAACGAGATAAACAGGATCAATAATGGTTGTTCCGTGTTTCCATTCTACAGTGCGATCGTAATTGTTGGTAATTTTCGAAACATTCAAAATGAAGAAATTTCCAAGTTGTGGACATTTAGATGTATAACAAAAACTACAACGCCCTATTTTCTGTGTAAGTGAGCGAATTTTTTTAGAAATTACGAAATTTTAATACGGAAAGGGGTTTTATTTTCTTAAAAAATACCAAATTTTAAACGGATCGTATTTTTAGGTGGTAATTAGAGGGTTGTTTCTTAAACATAATCTGCGAAGAAAATGAAAAATTTGGACGCACAACAAAAATTAAAACTCCCGTCATTATACCTACAGGGTGAAAATGTTGTCTGGAACACTGAATAATATCTTCAAAACAACGTTTTTTTAGAAGCTTTTTAAGTTATCCAAAAATATAAAAAGTTTACTGCCAATCTACGTACTTCTTGGCTTGTTCAACGCTTTTTAAATTGCGCACAAACGCTCGCCATTAAATTTCAGTGGCGAACTTCTGCATGGTCAAGGTGGGCTTATTTTTTACATTTTTTCAATTACATATTCTTAAAGAGAATAAAAAACTGATATTACATAATTAAAGTTTAGAGAAAAACTCAAATCAATGAAAATTGTTATGTTAATTTAATAATTTCACTAGTTCGCGTTGAAAACAAAACGTTATTCTTTTGTTGGTTATGTGAAAGTAATTTATTGTGTCAAAAATTATTACAAAAATTGAAGTAAATTGGCACGCTTACAAATTATTGATAGTGGCGGGCGTCTACCGAGGCGTCTACAGAACTAAGAGGGTCACTTTTTTAATGGAAAGCACTAGGTATTATGAAAGAATGAACTTTTTTGAAATATGGGAACATAAACATGATCAAAGTAGTAAAATTATGAAATCAATAATTAACAAATTATTTTCCTGATTATTGAATATAATAAATTTTTTATGCTGCTTGATACTTGATACTTTGACATATACCTGGCGTTGCCGCCTCTAAAAACAAGTTGTTGCTATTTAAAGAAAAATACTCCCTTTGACCAGGCAGAGGTGCGCCACTGACCACAAATTCAAAGTACATAGATTACATAATAGCAAATTTTTTATAATTTTGGATACCATAAAAAGCTTCTTTTAAAAAAAGTATTGTTTTGAAGATAAATTAAGTGTTCCGAAACACAACATTTTCACTCCGTATATTGCAGAGTCTGTTAAACATAATCTATGAAGGAAATGAATTGTATATTTCTACGGGGGATCGTTTTTATATTCCCGGACTAGGCATGAAAACAAAAGATTAGAGCATCTATAAAATTTTATTTTTCAATAAAGTTCCCCTTCTTTTGAATACATGTATAACCGACGGTATAACACCCTTTAATAACAACTTTAATTCAAAATTAAAAACAGCGCAGTCTGGGAATATAGAAACGACATCGCGAATGTTTTTAAACATAATCTATACGGAAATGAAAGATTTTGATGTGCAAATGTTTTAAAAAAACAAGCTACCTTTGATTGAAGTTTTGATAATTGGCAGCGTTTTCTTTTAACACAAAAAAAAGTTTCACTTGTTCGGCGTATGTTAGTATGATTAGTAGTACTGCATTTTTATGTGATAACTGCGATGTTTAATCCTTACTGGACATTTACTTTTTGAAAAAATGATGAATTGCGGCTAAACGACTCATTTTAGATGTCTTTTAAAATACATTAATAAGTACACTAAAATTGATCAAGGAATCGAAATGTGCAATATACAGTGTTCTATTTAAAAAAATGTAACTATATCAATCACTCAGTATAATTAGAATTTCGTTTAAATATTGTTAGGTTGTAGCCTTAAGAGTCCTTCAACGTGCCCCGACAATGAATTTTAAATATGTACGTTAATAAACCCAGGATCTTCCACCCACGGATTAATGGTCTTTTGTTACAATGACTGAAAAGCGAAAATCTGGAATGGAACTGGTACTTCAATTTTGTTAAAACCATTGCACATACCAACATTAAAAAAATGTAAAACCCTGCTGATCAGTTATTTCAAATTTTTTGATGATGCTAAAATAAGTTAATAACATTTCTAATTAACTCGTAATTCACCCATATATTTCCAGAGGGGAGAGGGGTGTTTAGGGGTAGGTGCGCTCAAAAGTACAATATGGTACTGCTAAGATAATGGTTTCTAATTAGTTCGTAATTCGTATAGAAAGATTAATTTGGGAAATGAATAAAAGTAAACAGAGGAGAGACAACATTTTGGAAATAATGTTTACCATTGGCATATAAGCTCTCTTTGAATCAAAATTTCTTGTGTTTCTCTATAATTACGCACTGAAAATCGAAAGAGATATCATAAAATGGTGTCCTCGAACTAATCCAAGAAATGGATCAAGAAAATGGAGATTTTATTTCATTGGGTAGTTCGTGAAAAATAAAAAGTCAAACATGCTCTCAAGGCAATTTAAGGGTCATTATAAACCTTGGGGCATTTTTACTTAGAAACAATTTTTGTGTGTTTTATTAGAAGCGGATTAGTCGAATATTGTGCACTACGTTACGCTAATTTGTGGGACCCCTCTCAAACAGATTTTGTTTATTTTTTTTCATAATTTATTATGTGCATTTGATATAAGAATGACAGGTGTCATTAGAATGCACAAGTCATTTGTTTCACTTTATCTACCCTTATAGTTAAAGTGATCACTTTATACGGTTAAAGAAGGACTTAGCCTACTCATTGAAACCTATTCAAATGTCAATGTGCTATAAAATAAAACAATAAAACCTTTTGTAGCAGTTAAATCGGATTTGCATTTCAATCCTACTGATGCAGGCCTATCTAGGGTTCCTCTAAAAACAGAATCGATCGTAAGATAGGTACGTGTACAGGGGTTCCTAGGATAAAAAAGTAGGTCTAGACTATAGACTGTGCGTTGAAGATGTCGACTGTTCCTAAATTATTATTTATTATTTATTTGTTGTGGATTTAAATGGTTTGGATGCTGACAAGTGGACTTTTAAAGATGATCATAAAACAACATTTTATTTTTCACCAATTTGACCGCACTACATTAAATGGATACTTTGCACAAAACCCAAAATGAATAATTTGAAATTGCTAAATGAGTTCTTAGGTTATCACGATTCCATATAATTAAACTTAAGACTTAAGAACGTCATTGACAACGGTACTTGCTTTCGTTGGGTAATTTACTTGAGTAAACAGTGGCTCATAATTTTGGTGCAACTGGTTTGTGTAACGCGAAGAATGTAGTCCCCCAAAAAGTTATTACTTCAGTTTGATTAGTTTCAGCGGCAATTTTCTTTGAACTTCAAGACTGTAATGTAGACGTGTAAATTTTCAGTTATTATTATTGTAATTTCTCTTAACCCGCA